AAACCGCATTGCAACGTGCTCATGGCACAATTGCGGGATTACTTGCACACTGCAGTACCAGCTCCGTTGATGGACGCCGGAGCAGCGGTTGTCGACCTTCACGTTTACATCGCGAAGATCGACCGCGAGTTCAAGACGCAACGGTACGACGACATCGACGCACCATTGCTATACGTACGCATTCAGATCGGAGAGGCGACCTGCAGTGCCTTGATCGATTGCGGAGCATCTCGCAACTACATCAGCCAGGACTTCATGGTGCGCGCCGGCCTTGGCCCACGCGTCCGAAGGAAGGCCCAACCTACGCAAGTCACACTGGCGGACTGTCACACGCACAAGTCAATCGACCGGTGCATTGACGACGTCCCAGTGTACTTTGCCCCTCGCGCAAGTGGGGCGGTGTCCTTTGACATTCTGGACACCAAATTCGACATGATCTTGGGCATGTCATGGCTGCGAAGCAAGGATCATCCGGTGAACTTCTTCAACCGCACCGTTCACGTTCGTGATCGGAACGGAGTATTAGTTCCATGCACGGTGCCTCTTCCTCATACTTCGATCAGCTGCCACGTGGTATCCGCCGCAAGCATGCGAGCTTCCATCATCAGAGACGACATCGAGGAGATGGGGGTGTGTTTTCTCCACGCCCTCCCGCCACATGACGCTTCATCGACGGACTCACCTTGGGATCCACGCATCACCGAACTTCTCGACGCCTACAGCGACGTGTTCGAAGGACCGCACGGAGTAGTACCAGATCGACCCATCCGCCACGAGATCATCCTCGAGGACGGGGCCGTACCTCTGCGCGGTTGCATCTACCGAACGAGCGAGGAAGAGTTAAGTGTGCTTCGGGCACAACTCGACGACCTTCTGGAGAAAGGCTGGATTCGGCCTAGCTCATCGCCATACGGTGCTCCAAGTCTCTTCGTCCGGAAGAAGAACAAGGACCTGCGGTTGTGCATCGATTATCGCAAGCTCAACGCGCAGACGATCAGGAACGCCGGCCCTCTCCCACACATCGATGACCTTCTCGAGCGATTGGGCGGCGCCCAGTTCTTCTCTAAGCTGGATCCCAAGTCAAGGTACCACCAACTCGAGATTCGCAAGGAGGATCGCTACAAGACCGCGTTCAAGACACGGTATGGACATTTCGAATGCCTGGTCATGCCATTTGGCCTTACGAATGCCCCGGCCACTTTCCAAGCGGCTATAACAACGGAGTTCCGACACATGCTGGATCGGTTTGTACTCATCTACCTCGACGACATCTTGGTGTATAGTCGGAGTTTGGACGAGCATGTGGAACACCTGCGCACCGTTTTGGAGCGGCTACGACAAGCCAAGTACAAAGCAAACTGCGACAAGTGCGAGTTCGCACAACAGGAGCTGGAGTACTTGGGACACTATGTGACGCCGCAAGGCATCCGTCCGCTTGCGGACAAGATCGAGGCCCTACGAGTATGGCCCGAGCCCACCAACACCACGGACGTTCGTTCATTCATGGGGTTGGCGGGCTACTATCAGCGATTCATCACCGGATACTCTAGGATTGCTGCACCTATGACAAGGTTACAGTCGCGAAAGGTGCCATTCGTATTCGATGACGACGCACGCCGGTCATTCCAAGCACTTAAGACGGCTATGCTCATGGCACCCGTCCTTAGCATTTATGACCCCACCCTGCCGACGCGAGTGACTACGGACGCTTTCGGCTATGGCATTGGGGCAGTCTTGGAACMGCACGACGRCRACGRYTGGCACCCTGTGGAGTATTTCAGCCACAAAGTGCCTCCCATCAACTCGCTTGATGATGCAAGGAAGAAGGAGCTGCTCGCATTCGTGATGGCTCTCAAGCGTTGGCGGCACTTCCTCCTTGGGCGTCGTAGGTTCACATGGGTCACAGACAACAATCCATTGACCTACTACAAGACGCAGGACACGGTGAGCAGCACGATTGGACCATGGGTGTACTTCATCGACCAATTTGACTTCACACCGAAACATGTCCCCGGCCTCTCCAATCGCGAGCAGATGCACTCTCGCGAAGACCTGATCTTTGCGTTATGACACATCATGCCTTCGCATTCAACGAGGAGCTTCAGCGACACTTCATCCGGACATATCAGTCTGATCCGGACTTCGGCACGCTCTATGCACAGCTATCTTCGGATCACCCGCCGGCCAGCCATTACCGCATTGGCGATGGGTACTTGCTCCTCCACTCGAGAGGCAAGGACTTACTATGTGTCCCACGCGACCGTCGTTTCGGACTCGCCTCCTCGGCGAGTATCATGATTCACGACTCGCCGGCCATTTCGGAGTCAACCGCACTATTGCATGGCTTCGACAGCGATTCCGATGGCCTGACCTCATTACCGATGTCACTCGGTATTGCGACTCTTGCGAAGTTTGCCGACCGAGCAAGCCCCGCAACCGCAATCCCTTCGGCGAGTTACACCCGATGCCTATGCCACGGGAACCCGGTCTCTCCATTGCCATGGACGTCACCGGTCCGTTTCCTCGCGACCGRCTCGGGCACGACGGCATCCTCACGGTTGTGGACCGATTGAGTAAGTACGCGCGTTTTCTYCCTTGCAAGTACTACTCCACGACTCCCGAGCTAGCACGCCTCCTGCACACTGGGTGGATTTGTGGCCACGGTGTACCAGAAGACATTGTCAGCGACCGCGACACTCGTTTCATGTCGGCGTTTTGGACTGCTCTCATGCAGGAGTCCGACACAACAATGAAACCAAGTTCAGCTCGGCATCCTCAGACAGACGGGCAGACGGAGCGGGCACATCAAACCGCTCAAATGATGCTTCGTACGCTCATCCGTCCGGACCAGAAAGATTGGGTTGAC